GGTTCACAATGTTTTTGCTTGGAGTACGTGCCATGTGGAAAAACTGAGCGGCAGGCAGCTTTTTGAATAAATATGAGCTCAACTAACAAAGAAGAGTTGGATTTCTCACTCCCAGTCACCAGATGTAAGTTGAGTTAATGTTTTACTGTACAGTTGCGTCCAAAAGAAACTTGAAAATGTAATCACCCAATCATCGTGTTAAAACCTTGCATTTATATACCCACTCCTGCAGCATTCCAATTTAAAGCTAAATAAATCCTGCATCATCTGACACAATAATATTTCACTTTTGTAAAGAGATGCTCGAGATATGGTCACTTAAAATTGGGCGAAATCAAAGAAACGTGAAAGTGTGTTTGTGCGTGTATTGAGATTCTTCAACGTTTGTGGAATTGATATGTATTGAATATAAAATTAAAAGGAAATATCAATGTGTCTGCAATGAGCAGCATCTTCTTAAATACATTTTCAGAAACAAGTTTTAAAAAAACAGATTAATTACAAATACCATGCTGAACTTAGACGTAACATTGTATAATATGCTCATTAGTATGATTTCGTTTTTGTTTAGGAGGTATCGGTCTTCTTGTTGAGCACAAACCTTTTAGAACATGGCTGTGTAAGTTAGATTTTTGAAAAATCATCTGTCAGTGAGGAGCAGAGGCCATGAAACTGCCATTATTTGGGGTGGTGGGACGGAATGAACAAAATCGTCCGCATGTGAATCATCGGATGGCTTGCTTTAGTTGACTACATCGCGCAAGTGTTGAAATGTCATGTCTTAACCTTATTTCCCTCATGATGCTATTCAAGTAGACATCTCCATTCATGGCAAATTACTTTCTAATTGGGCAAATATTATCACGAGACAATTCTTGGAAAACTACATCATACTAACGTTGGCGTAGACACCAGTAAATAGACCGATATGAATCCTACAGGTATGTGAAATCCCATGAAACAAAAGCTGAAGAAAATTGATGTTGCTCTCAATTCAGACCCTTCCTTTGCAACCGTCTGTGACATCTGGGATGAAATGACTGATAATTGTCTAAAATTTAGCAGAGTCGATGCTCTATGAGTTCGTGCACTACACAAAACCAATGGCTCCTTCGCAAAATAACAATGAGCACATTTCATGTTACGTCAGAATTTTTGTGGTATTGGTGATTGCTCTGTTTTCTGTTTGGTTTGAAATTGAAACTATCGACATTAAATATTGTTATCCATTCTATCAATATTGATGGGCACCAATACACGCGCGAAGACAACGTTTCTGTGATTTCGCACAATTTTGCCAAGCCTGATTGTTTAAGGTCAATTTTGAGTGACCATAATATTATCTCGAGCATCTTTTAACATAGCTGAAATATTATTGTGTCAGATGATGCAGAATTTATTTAGCTTTAAATTGGTATGCTGTTTGAATGGGTAGGGCAGGGCTTTAACCCGATTATTTGGTGGTTACATCGTCAAGTTTCTTTTGAATCCCACTGTATAATACACGTGCGGGTGTGTTACTCCCAGTTGTCGGTCAAAGGGATATAAATAGTTTGCCGTGAAAACGGTTACTATGTAAAGATCAAGTTACTCTCAGCGATAAATCGTATTGCATTCTTCGTAAAGCAGAACTGTCAGATTTATCAAATTACATATTCTGTTTAAACATTCCATTTTATAGTGTCAATTCCCTTTAAATTGAGGGAGATTCCTTCTTCTTGCGCCTGATGACTCTTCGCAACAATTTGCCTGCATTCTGTGTGTTGTTACTTAACAAACGTATAAAAAGAGGCCCACGAAGTTATTAGTAGCAAAATTCTAATAACATAGACTCTCCCTACGCCCTCTCTTAATAATTTGTTATTGCAGTCTCTGGACTTGACCGTCCACAGACATTCGAGGGATCAGTGGGCCTCTGCATCTCAATAAAGAGAATAACAGATTCTTTCGACCAAGTCACCATGGGCATATTGTACACTGTACAGTGACTGTGCAGTAGTAGATAGTAGATATCTAGTGTGCAGTGTGTAGTCCTAACAGCTTTGACGTCAGATGCACTTACAATGCACTGGGTGACCTTGGTACTTAACTTTAGATTGAAAATAGACAATTGAAAAACAAAGTTTGCTCAGGTCTTAAAATATGGCATCAAATCAGGATCCACGTGAGTCACTCTTCTTATTTTGATATGCCGATTTCGAAAATAAAATCGGTTTTTAGCTGCGATAATTATTTTGAAAATTCTGCTCGAAAAGTTTAATCCCGCGCGG